TAAAAAAAAATCCCTTCCCATCCCGCCCCTCACCTCCACCCCCAACACATTTACTTAATAGTAAAACATTTCGCGAATTTAAACTGTGGTAATTAAGCGTACACACCCCACCACACTCCAACTATGTTCCTTCAGAATAAGTGAAGCCTGAACACGCATACAACCCTGAGACGTCAATAAGAGTGCGATATGCACAAGAACGTATGAACATACTTTAACGCTTTGAAAAGGCACATTCTGTAACAAGGCTTAAAAGTAATTATAAGCACAAAAGCGTATAACTGCGTTATTCATACAGATTTTCAACTCTGGCCTGTTGTTGTTGTTTTGTTTTTGTTGTGTGTTGTGGGTTTTTTACCTTAAACTTGAAATGAAAAGACAATCAACACTATGGATACTATAAAATGTACAAATTCGTGTCTCTGGTTTATGCTTGGTGGTTCAAATGTTGCGCAACTTTGCCTTAGGTCTCTGGCTCGTCGCACATATTGTACCCGCTACGTCTTTAAAAAGGGTTAACACATGCAGACAGCCACAGAGATGAAAAAATGATGTCCACAAAAGGTCTGCCAGCTTGGCAATGGGAATTGAAACGTCCTACGCAATATTTTTATGCTGATGTATACGATAGGGAAAAAAGACGACTGAAAGGTAGCGACAATGCGGTTTTGCTAACTGCGTATTATTTTTTCCCCCCCCTTCAAGTTTACTTTTTTACCTTGTAATAAAATGTCTTCTCCAAATCTGATGCCTGAAGAAGTTGTAGGAGTGTAGCTATTTAAGGCTGGGGACTTTTTAAATGTACGTTTTATATCCGTATTAAAAATGGAAAATGGTGCAACGGTATCGGCTTAACGGCTCTTTCAACACTATTAGGTTATTTAAGAGGCGGGACCTGCGAGTTTAACGTCCATCTCCGAAAGGAAAAAGCCAAATGGGAATTTCGTGTAAAGTGCTTTCCCAAGGACACAACGTCGGACCGAGATGAGGCTCAAACCCCCCAACCAGCAACCATACGATTACGAGTGCGCTAGCCTGACCACTAATCTACCGACGCCACAGTATTTTTAACAAATCTTCGTTATTCAGTTATCATAATAGATCACTTTTGATACTACAATACTTTGTTACCATGCCAATACTGACTTTCTTTATGTCGGGGAAAGGGAGAGGGCGGATGCAAAATGTGTTATATTATCATTTCAGACAAATACCCCTGTAGCAAATCAACTCATTAATTATATGGAAGAGCTTGCATAAGGTTTCATATATCACCAGAGGTTTCCCCAAACCGCAAAGACCACATGGATTGCTATTTTATTTCGGAGGATTTACTCCTTTACTTATTCTTACAAATCCTGAATTCAAACTAATGATGCTTCCATTTCAGCGAATAGATCGATCAACGTGAAAATCAGTCAGTAGTCTTTTCTAGCTAGGATATGTTTTAGCACCAAATAAGAATTGATTCGGTTAATAATCAAAGAAACCTTTCACCTATATATGCCTTGTCCAGATGCAGTAAAGCGGAGAGCAAGTCTTATCCTCAGAAGACAAATCAATCTCTACAGACAAAAAAATTTTAGTATCTAGATCTAGATCTAATCTAGATCTAGACTAGATCCTAAAAGTGGTGTTGAGGGCAATTCACATAAAATTTGAATTATGGTATCGGACAGTTCATATTGTGTAATATTTATAATCTACCAGTGCAAGAGTAGTTTGGGCTACTTACAGGTCTGGGAAATCCAGTGAAGAATAAAGTTGTAAACCTGGGAGAATCAGCTTAGTCATTGTTTTCTTTTTTCCAAGCCCGCCTCCAAAAGACCGACTTTAAAAAATCCAATTGTGTGTCTATCCACGGAACGAACACTTCACACTGGAGAACTTCGATGAGAAACTGTCCGGCAGCAGACGACAGAAAACAAAATAAACACGAACCACGAATCACGACACTAGCAGGACGTCTTTTTTCCAGGTGTCTTGATAATAATTAAAGACTGCGATGAAAAGAAAAGCGCGTACCTAACTCACTGAGCTGAAGCAGTAAGTCTTACTACCGTACCACCAACCGACTCGTGGTTTGACCAGTGATGTTGTGGTCAACGCACGATAACAAGTCTGGCAAGCGGTCGGAAGTCGGAAGGAGAGAGGGAGGAAGGGAGGGAGGGACAGATCAGACGAGAGTGTCAGAGACAAGTGGCGCGAGTTTGGCTCTGCTGGCCTGGCGAGGCGCGGAGCTTCCCGACTGACTGGATGAATCGTGGACAGAAAAAAAAACACGAGGGGAGGAATCGGGGGCTGGGGTGGGGAGGTGGGGAGGTGGGGGATTGGGAGGGAGGACCGCAGGGCGAGGCTTTACAGGATTGCATCCCCCTTTACATTTTACATGTATGAGGTTTTTCTTGTGTTAGTTCCCTTGTCGATTATGTTCCATGAAGAGTGGTTCCCACGAGCGTTTCGCTTTTCTCTGGGACAATAAGATGTTCTCAGGCAGTCAGTGTTAGAGCATAACGGAAATGAAATATAAAACAATAAAAGTAAATTCTTGAACCCCCCCCCCCCCCCCCCCCCGATGTGCGTAGTGGGTCAAGTAAGTTCCGAATGGGGAGTTCAGACTGACTATTAACTTTTACCCTCCCCTACCTCCGCCCTCGAAATAACTATTCTTAAAGGCATAGACATCATGTTGGAGCTTAGAAAATGCAAAACAGCTCTTTATCACAATGCTTCATACTTAAAAGCAAAACAAAACAGAATTTTTGATAAGATAACATCGAGGTGCAGTGTAAAAAATAGGTCATCATATCTTTTGACGTTTTTTTTTTTTTTTTTCAAGCAGAATTTGTATATTTTCCAAATTAATGCGACTTTCGTCGACCCTACTCAAATGACCACCTGTCCAAGACAATGATCTGTACAAAAACAAAAAACTGCTTCCCACTTTCCACTTGCGGTTGTTGTTGGGTTTTTTTTGGATTTTTTTTTTTTTTTTTGGGGGGGGGAGTGGTTTTTCGTTTTGGGTTGTTGTTTTTTTACTGGATGACATCATCCAAGAGATAGAGACAAGAGACTGTCTAGGATGACCACGTTTCTCCCCGACAATGGGTAATCCTGACAGGTTTGACTGTGTTCCCCAGCTTTGATCATCTATGAGAAGGGGAGGGGCGGGGGGGGGGGGTCTAGGTTAATGTACGGTTGGATTTAAAACTCTTTCAGCTGAGGAAGGCAATTTTAGAATCGAGTTTTGGGGTCTCTCTTTGGTCTCTCTTTTTGTTTCTCTGTCTCTCTTTCTTTCTCTCTCTCTCTCTCTCTCTCTCTCTCTCTCTCTCTCTCTCTCTCTCTCTCTCTCTCTCTCTCTCTCTCTCTCTCCCTCTCTCTCATTGTCTTTCTCTCTCTCTTTCCGTCTCTCTCTCTCTCTCTCTCTCTCTCTCTCTTTCTCTTTCTCTCTCTGTCTCTCTGTGTGTATGTGCGTATGTGTATGTGTGTGTGTGTGTGTGTGTGTGTGTGTGTGTGTGTGTGTGTGTGTGTGTGTGTGTGTGTGTGTGTGTGTGTCGGTTTCTCATCTCGGATAGAACAAAACCAAGAGGTTTGGAAAAACATTACAAACTCCTTAAGTAACCTGGTCTTAAGAAGGCTAAGCCGGAGATTCGAACTCAATTAACCCACCATGAAGACCAACCAGCACATACGAATTTCGCTAAAGTAGCGCCTTTTTTTTTTTTTGCATTTCTTTCAGGACAAAAAGTTAAGCTGGTAAATTACCTGCTCTATTTCACTCCTCTCAGACCAGGAAGTTATGGATACCTGCTTATCGCTTGGCTGTCACAACGTTGGGGAGACACCATGCAGTTTATACCTGGTGTTGCTTTCCTTGCATGCAGACATAATCGGAGGGTTGGGGTTAGGGGGTTCTTTCTTTTTTCCAGCACGGAACTGAAGGGTGGGCGGGAGAGAGAGAGAGAGAAAGAGAGAGAGAGAGAGAGAGAGAGAGAGAGAGAGAGAGAGAGAGAGAGAAAGAGAAAGCGGAAGAGTGAGGGGGCGGCAGAGAGAGAGAGAGAGTGTATGAGAGAGAGAATGAGAGAGAGAGAGGGGGAGAAAGAGGAGAGAGAGAGTACGAAATGGGGAGGAGAGAAACAGTGACAAAGAGAAAAGGGGGAATATGAAAGGAGAGATGTAGAGCGTATGGATTATAGAGAAAACGGGAGAGAGAAAGAGGGAAGAAAGAAACAGAGTCAGAGACAGAGAGAAGAGGAGCTGGTGAGAGAGAGAGAGAGAGAGAGAGAGAGAGAGAGAGAGAGAGAGAGAGAGAGAGACAGAGAGAGAGACAGACAGAGAGACAGACAGACAGACAGACGGACAGACAGACAGGCAGACAGAGAGACAGACAAACAGACAGACAGAGAGTCACAGACAGAGGCAGTAACAGGGACGAGAGAGGAAAGAGACAGGAAAGGGGGAAACGGGAGGGGGGAGTTGGAAGGGTCTCGAATTACTCAAAATTTCATAGAATTCTTTATCACTTCATCGCTATCGGAATCAGTCTTTTTTTCTTCCTTTTTTATCTCACGATGGCCAAGATCGTGTTTGCATAATTTGTTTTTGTGAAGGGTTTTATGCCGCATTAGACTCAATAAGTTCCTTTCAAGGACGGAGCATCTTTGTCTGGTGTGGAGTGTAAACGATGGGGAACGAAGTTCGTGTACATTGAAAAAGTGTTCAGCCCCCATTGACACAGTTTCGCCATTTAGGAGGCAGGCTGCTTTGAATCTGCTTGTTTGGGCCAACCCTGGCTGCGTTGGATATACCAAAAAGTAAGTGTGGATATGCTATTGGGAACTGAACTCGTGCGTTCAGCAAACAGAGTAGAGAGGGTTTTTTAAAATTATTATTATTAATATAGAAGTTTTAGGACTCTTCTACACAATTAAGATCAATTTGTAGTTGGGCTTCCACCCTGCCTATCACGACCAACCCGGGCTGAGAGGGAAACAATCCTGGCAGAATGACCAAGATACTGTATAAAATTCTCTCCCCCCCCCCCCCCAACGGATTCGAACTCGGGTCTTTTGCGTGCGACTTCAAGGTGCCGAACTGCAACACAACAGTCACCAATGTGAGGAGTCTAGCCATTTCAACTTTAGTCACAATAAACAGAGGAATGAGAGGAAAGATAAGCCGGGGCAAAGTCACGATACGGTGGAATCAGGCGCTCGTCACTTTTGAGGCATTTGGAATTATTATTAGTGTCCTCTTAAAGCTTTTTATTTATTTGTCTGACTTTTGATGAAAAAAATAACTAATCTATCTTGAATACAAGTTGGCATATTTTTTAACAAGCACAACAGTGGGGGCAGAAGTACAAAACTTATCCGGGAAGGGTTGAGGATACTCCTATAGTAAAAGAATAACAAAAGGAAGAAAATGCTATTTTATTAATCACGGTAACGTGGTTGAATTCATCACCTTGAAATAAGATAATCTACAGCCGAAATTGTCTAAGACGACCACCCATTGTCGAGGAGAAAAGTGGCAGTCTTATACAATTGGGCGTCTTACATAGCGTAATTCTGTACGTTAAAAAACACGTGAGGAGGGAAAGGGAAAGAGGCCGTTCGTACAGGTATTCGTCACATACAGGTGGCTGGTAGAGCAGACTCGACATTAATTATATATAACGTAACAAACATTTCCAACAGAAGCACGCTATCGGACGCCGTTTTAAAAAAAAAAGGTTCATATTTCAGTTGGGGTAAAAAATATCCTTCTCAAGACCGTAGCCACTCAGCTGGAACTTTTCCCACTGATATAGATCTACGACACATTCTTTTTGAACCTGAATGCATTCACCTACCCATGACAGCATCATCATTCCCCCC